CCTACTGTCCAACTACCTACCGTGAAGTGCATGGGAACTTCCTATGTACTACTCGGCCTGCCTCCTGACTGCAGGGTGAGGCAGTCCAGGAGGCTGCTCTTGCCAATGCCGCAGGGAGTCAGGGGCTGCCGCTGCAGCTCCTGCTTGAGGCTGTCGTGGGAAACAGGCTAAAGGTAGACTGTTCCCGAAACCCTGGTTTTGTGCCTGAGTGTTAGGACAGGTCGATCTTATGAGGGCCCGACATGGCCCTCCGTTTCAGGCTGAAAAGCCTGAGGGTTGAAAAGCCCTGTTTTAGGCTGAAACGACATAGGGCCTGCAGGCCCTCGTTTTTCAGTCTTTCAGGCTGAAACGACAGGGGCCTGTAAGCCCTTATTTCTAGGCTTTTAGGCTGAGAATGCGGGACGGGCCCTGCAGGCCCGTGTGGCTACGCAGTATGGGACACCCCCCTCTCCTTGAAAGACCGAGCTTACCTGCGAGGGCGAAGCTGTCTGTCTGAGGGAGGGACCACAGTCCGGGTGGGAGGGGCAGGTCGTGAAGGTCCCTGAGCTAACCTTTGTCGCTCGTAGTGAGCGTAGATCAGCGGTGCGGATGCTTTCAAATCTGTTCCTGAAATCCACCGAGTGTCGTCGGGATCGCATGCTCTGAATGTAACCTTGTACTGGCGAGGCTTGCTGCCGTACTTGTGATCTGTGATGATGCGGGCAACTTCCTGATGACCATCCATAGATGGAGGGCCCTGCGATCGTCGGCCCAGGAAGTCGTCACTCTTAGCTGGTGTATATGTTGCCAGCTTCGAGGCGTGAAAGACTGGATGGACCGTCAGATGCACCGGGATATTGATCACAAATGAAGGGTCATTGGGCATATCGCCCGCGGCTGATGTTACGGGCCATGGTCCAAACCACTTGGGAAGCAGTTTGCGTGAAACGACCTGTTCCAGTGCAAACTCTTCCGCGGAGACCCAAACCAGATCACCGGCGCGGATGGGACATGGCACGCGACGCCTGTTGGCTTGCTGCTGCATGCGGACTTGAGCCTTTTGCATGTTCGCGAGGGCTTGAGCCAGCAATTCCCTGTACTTCTGGACGAAAGCGGGAGAGCAAGCGGCGTCGATGTCGGCTGGTCGTGGGAGGAGAAGGTCGGCGAAGATACGGCCTTTCCGTCCACCGTGGTGCAACTCGAATGGAGTCACGCCGATCACCGGGTGCACCGAAGTGTTGTAGGCGAACTCGATGTCGGGGAGGCGGTCAACCCAATCTTTCTGGTCCGGACGGATGAGCGTACGAAGCATCATTTGAGCGGTTTGATGTGCCCGCTCCGTTTGCCCGTCCGTCTGTGGATGTCGAGCCGAACTTGGTTTCATTTTCGTGCCGGACTCCTGCATGAGATCAATCCAAAATACCGACATGAAGCGAGTGTCGCGGTCGCTGACTATGTCTTCCGGTACACCGTGGCCACAAATCCAACCGGTGTGCAAGAGGCGTGCCAGCTCGGGAGCCGTGGAGTAGTACTTGCAAGGGAGAAAACGCGCATACTTACTCAAACGGTCCACAACCGTGAGGATGCCGTTGTGCCCGGGGCGATCGCGAGGAAATGGTCCGGTGACATCCATGGCAATGGAGAGGCCGGGTTCCCGTGGGATAGGCATCGGGCACAACTCGCCGTGGGGATTGCGATTGCGGGGCTTGTTTCGTCGACGAACTTCGCAAGAGTCGCAATACCAAGTGACATCGGTAATGAGGTTGGGCCATCGGAATCGTTGTCGAAGCCGTGCAATAGTGCGGTTGACGCCGAAATGGCCGGCGAGTCGCGAGTCATGGTACTCCCCGAGAAGGCGAGTCCGAAGACGACGGTCTCGTGGGACACACAATAAGTCCTTGCCTCTCGAGTAGAGGAGCAAGTACCCGTCGGCAATGCGATAGTGGCTGGCCGGCGGGTGATCCAAAAATAGCTGCGCATACAACGTGGCGAAGTCTGGATCAGACTCATAGCCCCGGATGAAGTGTCGCTGAAGTTCCTCGTTGAATGCGAAGGCATGATGTGTCATGGCGCAAAGATCGGGTCTTCGCGAGTTACATCTGCTGTGCGATTGGAGAGGCCGGGGAGATGTTTCGGTGTGAAGTCAAATTGGTCGATGAAGTACATCCAGTGTCCGATCGTGCTGCTCACCGTATCCTGCGTCTTGTAGTAGGTCAATGGGTTGTTGTGTGTGACCCATGTGAACCTACGACGCCCAAGGAGGAAGTGCCGCCATCGCTTGAGAGCCATCACGAACGTGAGCAGCTCCTTCTTCCTTGCATCATCAAGCGAATTCATGGGACGCACTTTGTGGCTGAAATACTCAACAGGGTGCCAGTCGTCGCCGTCGTGTTGTTCCAAGACTGCCCCAATGCCGTAGCCGGAAGCGTCGGTTGTCACTCTCGTAGGCAGGGTGGGGTCATAGATGCTAAGGACGGGTGTCATGAGCATGGGCGTCTTAAAAGCTTGGAATGACCGGTGTGCGTCGTCATCGAATATGAATGGCACCTTTGGCAATTGTAATCTCGTCATAGGTGCAGCAATCCTTTAGTATCCGGTGATGAATCGCTGATAGTAGCCCGCCAACCCCATGAATGAACGAACGTTCGTGGTGTTGGTGGGCTCGGGCCATACGCAGAGGGCCTTGATCTTGTTCACAAGCGGACGGATGCCTTGCGGCGTCACATAATGTCCCAAGTACTCCAGCTCCTGCCGCTCGAATTCGCATTTGTCGCGGTTGGCTTTGTACTTGGTTTGTCGTAGCCACTCCAAAACGGTGCGCAGGTGTTCCACATGCTCGTCCAAACTCCGACTGTACACCAGGATGTCGTCGAGGTAGATAAGTACGAATCGATCCAGCATGTATCGGAACTCCGTTGTCATAGCCGCTTGGAAAGTGGCCGTGGCATTCGTAAGGCCAAATGGCATAACCATTCAAAATGCCAATATCGCGTCTTAAACGCGGTCTTGTAGCGCTCCTCCTGCCGAATCTCGAGTTGGTGATATCCCGACTTGAGGTCAAGCTTGGAGAAGAACTTGGCGCCGCCCAGTCGTTCCAGAAGGTCGTCGATGCGCGGAAGAGGGTCGGCGTTTCTGATCGTTTGCGCGTTGAGCTTGCGATAATCGATGTACAACCGCAAATCCTTGTTCTTCTTCCGGACGAAGAGAACAGGAGCACCGTATGGCGATGAGCTAGGCCGAATCCAGCCTTTCTCCAGAAGGTCGTCGATTTGTGCCCGTGGCACACTTAACTCTTCCTCGCTCATTCGGTAGATGCAACCGCGCGGAGGTACGACCCCATCCTCGAGGATGATCTCGTGGAAGATGAGCCGATCCGGTACTACTCTGTGCGGGCCTTCGAACACGTCGCCGTAGGCGTCGAGAAGCTCGGTGATGCGTGGGTTTGAAGATGAGTCCGTCGATGAAGCGTCATGGGGCGGAAGGGCGTGGAGAAAACACACCCCCATCTCCTCGATGTCGTCTCTGATGATGGAAGCTCGCATGCTTGCGGCGGACACCACGTGGCAGCTGATCGAAGGGTGAGGAGGAGCTACCGTGCATGGGACTAGTACTCCGTTCCGATCACGAATGTGAACGGTGCGGCGGTACAAGTTCACCGGGTGATCCTCGCTTCGCAACCATGACATGCCCAAGATCATGTCGAATTTGGTGTCCAAGATATCGAAGGACACCGCCTCGCTTGCGTGCGGGGCAAAGTACACGGGGACGTCATCTATGCACCGGTCTATTGACTTGTGCGTGTAACCGTCTGCCAACGTGACTTGCGTAGGCTGGGACTTCCTCCGGACGCGTGGGTCAAGGCCGGCGCGTACCATAAGTCTTGGCTCATGTAGTTGCGAGATGCTCCGCAATCGATCAAAACGCTGCAGGTCGCCTCTCCGATCTGAATGCGTACATATAACAATGGTGCGTCGATGTCGTCGTACCGTTGTGTTTTGAACTCGCGGTCGATCTTCGCAATGTAGGCGTGAAGGTCGACAACCTCTACTCCGGCGTCCATCAACGAAGTTGGTACTGCAGTGTGCAAGTAATCCCGCAATTGTGCCATGAGCACATTGCAATGCGGTTTCGACAATCTACCGGACCGGGGAAGGGGCATCCATTGGAAGTCCGCAAATGTCAACGGGTCGAGCTCTTCAAGTCTTGACCATGACGTTGAATCCCCGGCGGTAGATGGCGGCAAAGCTGCCGAATCGGTTGCCGATGGTGATGAAACCGTGCATGCGGTAGATTGTTGCACGTGGAGCAGTTGGTCCAACGGTGGGACCAAGTGGACAGCATAATCCTCGTAAGTGAACCGAGGACTTGTGACATGCGCATCCTCCCCAGATGTGTAGGAGGCCGCTAGCAAGGCGGCCGAATTTGGCGGAGTGAGAGGTGGAGTCGCCTCACCTCCTGCGCGACTCAGTTTCCCGAGTTAATACGAGGCCGAACATCCTCCTTGCCTTGATCCGGGCATTGGGAGGTCTTGTGCTTGGTGCTGTTGCACTAATAGCAGCAGCCGTAGCGGGTGCGCCACTTGTATTCTGCCTCGGTCAAGTGAAACTTGACCCATGGTGTTGGCTGTCCGTTTCCGGCCGGCGATGCAGTTTTCGCCTTCCCGTTTCCTCGGGACTTGTTGTTGCTTCGCGGCTGGACAGCAGCCACCTGATCTCCCTCACGTGACGCTTGGGTGGCTGCCGGGTCTTCCACAATGTTGTCTGTTTGGAGTGCAGCGAACTGCTGTGGTCGCGGACCAGTTTTCACCTTCTCCACATAGGTTGGCTGCCATGCTGATTTCTCATGTGCAGCTGCCCTGTTTGTCTTGATGATCTCCCTTGCCTTGTTGATGATTTCAGCGAAGGTGTTGTAGTGCTCGCGATCACCAAGTGCGAGCCTCAAAGCGGCGCATGACCGGTTGTAGAACTCCCGGCGCAGATGCGGAAATGGTAAGTCCAGATCGGGCGTCGCCACGATCTTCTGCCAATCCGTGAGCCAATCACGTGTCGCTGTGTTTCCTTGAGCCATCGTGAAGATGCGGTTGATGCCGAGCGCCGGGGCGTCGTCAACTATGAACCGCTTCTTCCATTCCTTTGTCAGATCCTCCCAGGAGACCTTCTTGTGTAGGTCGAAGACCTGAACGCCGTGGACAGTTGCCATATGGCTGAGCCAGATCTAGCATCCTCCCTTGGCGTTAAGGAACAGCGCGCCGATGAACAGATGTTCGGGGACCTCATGAATCCCCAACTCCGTTGTGAATCCTTTCCACCAAACGACCGGGTCTTGATGTGTGTAATCATAAAGCTTCTCGATCCGGAACGTCGGCATCTTGTAATGCTTCGCCGTGCTGGTGCTGCGATCGGGGTCAGACGGCTGTTGTCGCTGCCTGATCTCGGTCTTCAGTGTGTCCAACTGCTGGCTGATGGTGGCTGGCGCTGCGAAGGTGCTAATATCTCTTAGCATTGCCACTACGTGATCGACGCGTGCCTCCAGTTGGCAGGTTGAGGGTGCACTGTTGGACTCACCAGCCTCCGGTCTTGGTGCAGTTTGCTCCAAGTCCTGTACACGGGAATCAAGTGCCCGTGCTGCATCCTCGTGCTGAGCCTTGTGGTTCCGCACGGCCCGCTGGAGATTCGCCAGCTCGGACTGCAGGTGGTTACAGGTGTAAACCAACCTGGTCATGAGCTTGGCCATGAATTCCTTATGCTGCTCCTCCGGTGTTGCGTCATCGTGCTCCTCTGATGATTCGAAGTGCCAAAACTTGAGCCTTTCAATGCTGGTGGTTTCATGCCGCTGCAGCAGATCCTGGGCTTCCTTGCAGCGTGCCTGGGTATCTGCATCTGCTTCGGCCTGAAGCCGCTGCTTCTCAGTTGTTGCTGCTGCTTCAGCCTGCAGGCGGGCAGCCTCGGCTGCCAGCTGGCACTGTTCCTCACCCTCGATCAATGCGAGATGAGTCTGGAACCGTTGTTTGTAGTCGGCAATAGACTCGTTGGCCAGTTGGCCTGGCCTGCCCAGAGTTGGGCCCGTCATGTTGCTGATGTGGCGCTGCTGACGTGGCACTGCTGATGTGGCACTGTTGTTAATGTGGCACTGCTCACGTGGCACTGTTGCTGACGTGGCATTGCTGACGTGGCACTGTTGCTAACGTGGCACTGCTGACGTGGCACTCTTGCTGACGTGGCACTGCTGACGTGGCACTGCTGGCGTGGCACTGCTGACGTGGCACTGTACCAACCCGGAATGCATGCAAACCGGTGGGTGGGAGGGAAAACGCAGGTAGGAAACCAACCCAACAATACTTTCCTCCCGTCCCTAATCAACAGATAAAAAATAAAAAAATAAAAGAGGACTACTTCCTTTTTTTTTTTTTTTTGTATATCTGTCGATCTGCTATGAGTCAGACATGTCAGAAGAGTACTATGAGCGAGATCTAGGCTAGGTTCCATAAAGTTTCGGCTTTTACAAAATGCGATCTTGAAAAAAAAAATTGCGAGATAGAATAGAGATGCAATTTCAGAAAAGAACTAAATCCAGTTTCTGATAATATGGCAACCTCCGAATATGCCTAACGAAATGTTGGTAGGCTTCGCAAGATTTCGGTTTTCAAAAAAAAATTGCGAGATAGAATGAAAATTCGATTTTCAGAAAAGAATAATTCCGGCTTCCGAGAATATGACCACTTCTATCGTTATCCTAATGTGCCTAGAAAACGAAATGTTAACCTCATAAAGTTTTAGCTATGTGTGCGAAATATCAGAGAAACGAAATGCTACTATCAGGAATTTTCAGATAAAACGAAATGCGATTATCAGAAATTTCAGATATTTGTTGCGTGAAAACGAAATACTAATATCAGAAATTTCAGGTAAAAGGAAATGCGATTATCAAAAATTTTCAGATAGTTGTTGCGAGAAAAGAAAAAAAATTAAGAGATTTGACGAAGTCCTACTTGATTTACTAATGAGTAATCAATAGATCAAGCAAGCTGGCTACTTGATTGAGCGGCTCCTCTGAATGAGAGGTCCGCTCCGATACCAAACTGTTGCATACTGTAACGGTGCAGACCAGAACAAGAACCGACCTCTCAATACAAAGTACAAGATAGCGTAGTGGAAGACTTAGATACCAATGATCCGAACAATCAATATTGCAATGCAGCCCTGAACATGCATCATCATCATCATTCCCTGGTGTGAAGGGGTCTGGCGCTCACACAGGAAGAATGTGCCAGCCCCAACCATACACAAACGAAGAAGAGGGGGGGTTAGACGAAGAAGAGGGGAAGATGGGAATGTCGTCAACACCAAGTCTTCGGCACAAGCCCAAATAGTCCCTCGTCAAA